ACCCGCCAGGTTTAGCGGCCACTGCTCTGAGGGTCAATATTGGCATATCCAGAGGCACCTCGTTCAATGAAACAAACAAGTAGAACGGAGAAGTGAAAAAGACCTCCAAGAGCTTAGGACGTGCTCTGGACAGAAATGCAGGGGTGACTCCTCCCCCAGAAGCAGAACGACCAGGCCCTTGGCCAGCGCCCAGGCCACCGGGCAACGACAGCGGCCGTCAGTGTGGCTGGGGAGGGACAGGCAGGGCAGCGACGTTCCAGCTAACAGTGAGGAGCCTCGGTGCTGCTAGGCTGGGCCACAGAGGTGGCTTGCTCATTCTTCGGGCAGGGATGACGTGACACCCGTGTTTGGAAGAGAACCCGCAGACAGACCAGTGGGAAGGAAATACCACAGGAAAAAGCACTTTCCCATGGCATTAGTTTCGCAGCAATGCCGTGACAAAGCACCAACTGGGCAACCTCACCCCGAAACCTGCGAGGCAGAAGCTTCCCTGGCCTCTTCCGGCTCCTGCCGGTGGCCGGCAAGCCTCGGGGCTCCCTGGCACGCAGCTGTAACTCTCCAACCTCCACCTGTTGTCACACGGCCTTCTCCCCTCATGTGGCCATGGAGCTCTTTGGGGACATAATCCAATCCCTAATACCCGTGAAGTCCCAACGGCTTCTAGTCTCAAGGGCCAGGCTCCAAGACACCCTTTCAACCCACCCAGCTCTGACCTGGGACTGTCCTTCCTTTGGTCCGAGATCTTCCACTGAAAAATGGTGAAAAGCCACAAGGAACACTCCATGGAGCGTGAAAAGAAAAACCACTGAGATTTGACCTTGTAAACATTCTTAACACAGCTAGTCCTTGAAGAGGTCCCTGGAACTACGCCTCTCAAACCTACTCACTTTCCATGTTTTTCTTCTCATCTGCCTCATCAAGATGTTATCTGAGAGGCAGAGAGACCACGCAGCTTATGGTGGTGCCAAAAATAACTGAGCATTCCATGAGGCTGTGAACTCCGATGTCACAGTAATTTTTTAAAATCGAGAAGTTTGTTTCTGCAGAAGATTCCGCTCTCTGTTCTGAGCGGACGCAGACCCTCAGGGCGCAGCAGGACGGGCATCCCTGGCCCTGAGGCATGACGCCAGCCCGGGGGCGGGGGGGGGCAACACCAGCACGGGGTCACGTTTTGATGGCTCCAAGTGTCACCAAGCCTCCCCGCATGGTGGCCTTTGAATGTCAGAAAAGCAAATGGATGCCTGTCCCCTGGAGGAGAAATCCAAGCTGTCGTGAGATCTGAGACAGGGAGGTCAACCGTGATCATGGCGTCGAGGAGGCAACAGCAGCCCTGGGCAGAGTGTGCCCGTGGATCGCAGCGTCGAACTTTCGAAAGCAAGGCTTGTCTCTGAACGCGGGCAGACCCCCACTGCCCACTGAGCTCGGGCAGCTGGAGAGGACGTTGGCTGACGGTCACTGCGATGAGAAGGTCACAGAAGGCTCCCTCACCTGAAAGCCCCCTTCAGGGAACCTCAGGCTGCCCTTGCCTTTGTGACCTCTGGTAGCTACTTTCTGGGTCTCTACCTGCTTATAAAGGAAGACAAACCGCCACCTTATGATACCACTCTCGCCCCTGCAAAAGGAAAGGACTGGAGAAAGATCAGAAGTCCTCAGAAGGCACAGCAACCTCTACACGATTCACAGCAGCCGGTGTCCAATGTTTCCCCTCAGGAAACTAGGCAATGGGTCCCCCAAACCACCCCCCCACCGCCAAGCCTTTAGAGGAGTCTCTGTCTCTCACCCATCCATGACCCTATCCTGTTCTGTTTTTCAAGATTCAAATACAGCAACTTTAGGTCCCAGAGCTTCCCGACCCTAAACCCCGCCCCGCAAAGAATGACAGCGATTGTTATGGAATCGTCGACAATGAGAAACAGGCTGGTCGCCCCTTCTCTAACCCTCAGCGTCAATCGTGAGCACAAGGAAGGTAAAACCACCATGACATGCTATTGAAAACACTCTGTCTGACCTCCTGGGGAACCTGAACGTGTGCTGTCTGAGAGGCAGGGGCATCTTCAAGGTGCCAGGTGCCTGGCTGGGCGAGTCTCCAGGCAGCAGATGCACGGTCCTGCTGAGGCATTTCTGTCATAAACGGAATTCCACGCGCGTGCCTCCAGACAATGATGGGCTCTCCCTTCAGTGAAACCAGGGGAAAAAAGGAAGAACCTTCATTTCTTCTCCCAGAGGGCAAAGACCTCAGCAGTGCCATGTGCCTTAATGAAAAGCCCAATTTGTCGAAATGCCAGAGTCAAACAATGCGACAGGGTGAAGGGAAAAAGGATGAGTGCGTGCTAGCTCACTAGCAAGGGCTTGAAACAAAAACCACCCTGGCCAATGGGAAGCAAAGGTCCACCCACCCGATGTCCCCGCCTCACCTAGAGCCCTAGTAAGGCGCCCTCCTCTCAAATCTACGAGAGCACGGGAAAGCTGAGGCAGCCCGCGTTTCTGGATGGACCTTTGGAGGGGCCTTGGCTGTCTGGCACGGTGCCTGCTCAGGTGTTGGGGAGAAAAAGCTGGTGTTAGTGTGCATGGGGCTCAGGGAAGTCAGTGGCCGTTGTGCGGACTTCCAGTGGGAATGAGAACTGAGCCTCGAGCCAGGATAAGCTCTGCTCATGACTCACTTCGATGCTTGGTTGACTTTGGGGAGTTTCCAGAACGTTGTCTGCATTGCGATTCGGCACAGCTCCTAAAAGCCAGACTGCAGTCCAAAAGCGAGCTAAGGTGCTGAGAACAAAATAGTCCTTTTACCTTCGGCCCTTTGCCCCGCAACTTCCTTTTAACACCCAGTATCTCACGTCTTGATTGAGAAATAACTGCCAACCCAAGACTTCTTTTAGCTGCTCTGAAGCAAAGCAATTGTGATTTTGACAAGTCAACCAGATAAATCCAACTAAATGAGAACGTTCAGTGGCCAAGGACAGGCTGCCAAGAGCAAAGTATTAGGTTGGCAGAGTTTAAGTTACTTAACCTCCAATGCCAACATGAAGTCAGGAATTGCTGGGCATTTGGTAGAGTTATGCATTAAGGATTATGAGACTGGAGTCGAAGCAAAGGCCTTATCCAATGTGGAAAATCCTCTGCTCCCACTTCCCTTTGAAGCCCAGCCACTCATGCCAAACTATAAACACATCACTTCCTGGAGGACGTGCCAGGCCACTTCAACTTGAAATCAAGTCCCGGTGGTGTGCATCCAAGATCCTCAGAACATCCAGCAAGCTCGCAAGCCCTGCCAGGCCCTCCCGCTCTCCGTGGGGACTGCGGGGACCCCTCCTCCGATTTAACTGGCAGACAAAACGGTCCGCACGCCTTGGGGAGATTCGCACCGCCCCACCCCCACACATGGGCGACTTCACCTGATCGGAGGGACGAGCCTGCACCTCCAGCACGGCTTACATTTGATTGAATGCCAGGTCCTCCTAAGGAATGCCTGCCCAGGGAGTGCCTACAATCATTTCCATTCTCAGTATTTTGAGGTGGCAACTTGGACAGAGTACAGTGTTTCTCAACAGGGCAGCCTTACGCAAGAGACATTATTCCCAAACCGTGCCTCTCACTATTGTCAATAATAAACTGTACCCCACACGATTCCCCACCCGTCTTGGGGTGAGTCGGATGGTCCTGGACACAGCTGAGTGCCACTGGTGAGCACAGGAGCGGGGACGGCTGAGCAATGCTGCGGGGGGAGTAAAGGACACTTCTGAGTTCCCTTGGGCCGCAACCTCCCTACTCAGTTAGTCCTGGAAACCAAGCTCAGTCCAGCCGTCCACAGCTCTGCCCCTGCTGCACTCAGCCGCGAGGCTTCTGGCCACCAAGTTACCACCAGACCGGCACAGCATCTATCGAGAATACTTTTTATTGTACAGGTATCATATACACAACAATGAATGAGGGAACGTTTACAGGCACGGAGTTCAATTCCCAATCTCCACGGCACCCCATGCACTGCACTGCACCCTCCTGTTCGGGATCAGCCCGAGAGGATTGAGACACCAAGTTATTGCTTCGTGAAAAGAGAGCTTCAATTAAAAGAGAATCTTTCGCCCCAAGAACAGAGAGCCCAGAGAATCCTAATTCCTAATACCCTGTGTGCATATGAATAAAACCTAAGGATATGTTTTAGATGACCCCATCACCTTGAAAAGTTATTAAAATGGAACCCCATTTCTCAAAAAGTCATTAAGAAGTGCACCCATATTTACAGACCCGATTAAATTATGCATAAATAAAATCTGTACACGCGACACACTATTTCTCAAAGTAACAGCGCTTCCTCCGGGACTCGGGGGTGACCGGCAGCCAAAACGCTTCATGTCTACCCTTTTCAAGTTTTCTCAAACAGCAAGATGTGAAATAAATATGCAAATAAAGCTTCAGTACCTTAAGGGAACGAACGCGTCATTCCAAAGAATTTCCCATTTGAAGAGCTAATTTTCAAAGTTAAAATAAAACAAAACACATAAAAATCATCAGCAGGCTTTGTCTCTACAAGTTGTGTAAAACCCGAAGGCCCCTTTGAAAAAGGGTTTTTTTTAAGTGTGTCTGATACCACCTATTAATTAGTGGCTAAGCAGGTAGAATCTGCCTCCTACTGTGTGTAGGGTATGATATCCGAATACACTAGATAAATACTTTTTTTAAAAGATAAATATTAAGTGGGCACAAAAGGCAGCAATTACCTCAACACTGCGCATTATTGTTGATTTGAATCACATCAGATTTGACATTTCAACAGCTAAGCATGTGGGGTTGTGTTTTTTTTTGCCCAGGGGATGGATTGAAAAGGTTCAAAAACTTGTAGCACCACTTCAGAGACAGGAAGAATGGGGTTCAAAAATAACAAAACGGAAGCTTAGTGAGTAAAGAACCAGTACTTGTCACCTTCTGATAAGGTGGCCAACGCATCAGCGCCAGAGAAATACTAAGGACTCCATGAGGTTGTGCTCAAGTCCGGATCCGGGGACCCACAGAGGCCCCTTTAACGGGAGGGAGGGTAATGAGCTCAGCTTGTCCCCTAGGCAAGAGGAGTTCCCCCATCTGTGCTGGTCCAGAGTGGTTTTGGAGAATGTTTTCCCTTCCAGACTCTTCCTTCCTTTCATTCCCGCCCACTTCATTTGCGGTGCTTCTCCATTTTCTCCAGGGCCTTGCTGGAGTCGGCTGGGCTCTGGTCTCCGGGGTTCATGTAGGACTTGTCCAGGACGAGCAAGGCCTCTTTTATGTAGTTCTGCACAGCAGACACGGCAGCACAGATGGCCTGGCTGCCAAACCCGTGGGTAATCAGGCTGAAGTGTGACAAGCAGTTCTGAATGTTGGCCTCCAAGACTGGGGCAGGCCGGTTGTTCCCGTTGGGGGTTCGGTCTTGGTTGAGGAGGTCAGTGAATTCTTTGCACACTTGCCTGTGAAGACAACACACACCCATGGGCTCACCCTAGCTCCTAGAGAGGACAAATCGCCTCAAGGAGACCTTCTGGCCTGAGTCAAGGCAGGAGGCTTCACGCTACAACTAATATAATAGCCCATTGGGGCACTTAGCACCCATTAGGAGCTAGTCAACTCTTTCCAGCACTATCTTATTTAACCCTAACTGCAATGAGAAGGTAACAGGATTAACCCCAGTTAACCCAGTCCAGTGGCCAAGGTCACCAGGACTGGTTTGGGGGGGGGGGGTCAGGGTTCCAGCCCAGGAGGTTAAGGGATGTCTGGTGAGGGGTCAGTTCAATAAACCAATAAACCATTCGGAGACTCCCGCATTTCCCTGAAACTCCCGTTTTATCCAGGCTGGTTCACCACGCTCCCTTCCCTTTGGCCCCATTTCCTGACTTGACTAGTTCTGCTTCATTTCCCATGATTTTAAAACCAATTTACTGCTGGCTTCTATGAGAAACCCCCACAGCTGCATTAAGTCCTGTTTGAGACATTTAATTTGCCCACTTGTCTCCTGCAAATCTAACCATCATTACGTTTAAGAAACAAAAGTCTGGTTACCAGGAGGCAGAAGGCACACAATCTTTACTGGATGTGACAAAACAAACAATCTCTTCAGCACAGTTTTTGTAAGCTATGCAAATACGAAAGGGTAGTTTAACGATGGGGACAGCTAAGCTGCTCAAAAACCCTTGTTATTGGAGCAATGGAGCAATACATCTGTTCATTTCACTTGCTCTTTTAAGGTATTTGATTTTGTTTGGTGGCGGGAGGAAAGCAGCTCCTTGCCCTGTTCGTTTGCTCCCCGCCCCAACCTAGTTACCCAGCATTTCTTGTGCACCAGAGGCTGCGGTGACCTCTCCACTTCAAGGTCAGAGCAGCCCGCTGGCTGGCAGGTGTCGGGCTGCGTACTCACTGTGCCGCCAGCAGCATGTTCTTCCGCGCCGCCATCTCGTTCCGGCCTCCCAGGTGAGGTCTGCTTAAGTACTCCGCCACCGGTTTACTGGGAAACTCTGCTTCGCAGACGTAGGCGAAGTCCCGAGCCAAATGAACAGCCTCCCCTGGAACCATGAAAGACGTTAGGATGGCCGCGCCTCCTCCCTCGACCAGGCACTGCGCATTCTAAATGAAGGCTCTGACCAACAGGGACAACGGCCTGGAGGATAAGGGGGGACTCCCCTCTAGGCACAGGCGGTGAAATCCTACCACGGGTGGGGAACAGACCCCAACACTTGTAACAGCACCGGAACAATGGCAGCCTGTCCCCTGCCCAGCTCCAGGGCCAGGACCTGGAGACACACCCCCGTTTTCTCTGGCTAATAAAAAATAGACCCTGCGGTGGAGAAGTAGGAAAATTTAAAGGGGATTCTCTTTGACAACCGCTAACTGCTCACGTCTTTTTACGAAACTGTCACCAAGTCTTCTCACGCCGAGCCTTCTTGTCCAACTGGGGCACCCCGTTACTGAAGGGGACGAGTCTCTAGAGTGTTTCTTTAAAAAGGGGAGGCAGGAGTGGTTTTCCTGATGGATCTGTGAAGGGTCCAAATTACCAACTTCGATCACCCACACCCGTTGTCCAAGAGCTGGGGGGCAGAGAGCGAGAACCAGTGGGGTCACCTCCCCCGGCCAAGGGGCCCCGGGCTGACTCCGCACGGCCAGGCCAGTAGATCTTTTCAGAAACCCAGATGGTGCCCCTCACCCGCTCGCCCGTGCGACGTGCTGAATCAGAATCTGAGCGCCATTGTTCGGGCACCCTCTCCACTGCCTCGCTCGGGCACCCCCACGCCAGGCCCGGAAGAAAACCGAGAGGAGACACCTTCGCATGCTTTGCACGCAGAGCCCGCCTGTGCAGACAGCTGCTCCGCACAGGCAGTTCACAGGCAGCTCCTTGCTCCTTCCCCTGGCCTCCCACTCGTGAAAAGGCGGAGCAGCGCCCTGCCAAGGCTCTTCAGCACCCAGGAGACCAGAGTAAGAAAGCGGTCACAAGATGGCCTGGCTGGGAGGCCACCACCCCTCATTGGCTCTTCCAGCCAGCACCCAGTGCCCAGCACTCAACTGGTTGGGCGAGGCGTTCGAGGTGGCTGGAGGCTGCAGGATTCACTGGGTGGCCCACGCCACTTTCCCCTGCCCATTAAATGTGTCTGTTCTGTTTTTTTAAAAGTACTGCAGCCCTGGGGGGCTAGCTCAGTTGGCTAGAGCGTCGCCCAGATACACCAAAGCTGTGGGTTCAATCCCCAGTCAGGGCACACACAAAAATCAACCAACAAACACATAAATAAATAAACCAGCAAATCAATGTTCTCACTCCCTCCCTTCTTCTCTTTCTAAAAAAGCAATAAAAAAAATAAAAATTACTTCACTTTGTTTTTCTCGTTCCCCCCAGAAAGGCTGTATAGCATTCTTGGCTACTTTCCAGGTTGGGCGGTGCAGGCCCATTCAAGAAACTGAAATGTCACCTCCCACTATCTTAGGGTTGAGGAGGGGGCTCACCTTCGGGCCCCCATACGTTTTTCTTTTGGTGGGGAGAAACAAAACAAAGGACCTGCGAGTTGGGCCAGTGCCCTTGAACACAAGGGCGTCTCTTCGCTGGCCATGGCAATCTTGATATTCCACAACTACAAAAACCAGAAACCAAGCTCTGTCCACCAGTAAGTACCTAGCGTTTTAAAGGCATATTAACTGATGGGTGGTATCTTCAAAACCTGGTTCACTTAACAGGAAATGTCCCCACACCCTACAGTGTGATATCTCAGCGTAGGGAAGCCCATTTCTTTTCCTCCCTGATCTCCTGGGGAACCCAGAACAGAGTTAAATGTTAGCTTATTTGACAAAATGACTAGAATCCATTCTGATGCACTTATGACCGTTCGCATCGCCTTCCTCCTGCTCTGCCCATGACCAAGAGGTGTTTTTAAGGTTTTCTTTAGAGAAATAGTCAAGACACAACCCAGCAAACTACAAGCACCAGAAAACTCCACTGACCTTCCACCAAGGACGTCAGCAGGGTGACGTGCGCAGCCTTCCTCCTCCCGGCAGGGAGATTCAGCCCGATCTTGTCCAGCTTCTCGCGCAGGGACCGGCCTCCATTCTTAGATTTGGCTCTACGCACCGAAAAGCAGATTGTGGCTATTCTCGAGAAACCACGCTTTAAACCCCCAAATTCCTAGACTGCCATCAAACCTGACATTTGTCCAAGACTATCTACATCATGTGGATCATAATCACACGACACAGGGAGTCCTCATTAATTCATCCCTGTAAAATGCAAAACTCTTTTTTTTTTTTTTTTTTTTTTTAATCACAGACTTGCGAGCTGTACTGGAGCCGATAAATTTTCACTTGTAAAAACTGCAGCCGCTCTGAAAAACCCCCTAGGGAAACAAACCCCTGGTGCCTCACTCCCCGTCAAACCGAGGCCGCCACTTCATACATGGAATAAATTCTAACCCAATGATAATTGGTTAGCGCTGTTTTAGCACCTCTTTCTACATTTGGCACTTTCTAAAAAAGAAGACATGTACTAAAACTCTCTGAGCTGATTAGAATTCAGCGTTAGGTCTCAAAGTTACATAAATGTTAAAAATACACCTCCTGGTCCTTCCCTATATTCACCTTCCACCCCCAGCCACCTTGCCCGGCATGCGTCCCACGTACCTTCTGAGAACACCTCCCAGCAGGGAGGCATTTAAGCACTCAGGCGGGGACAATCGCCTCTGGACTTCAGCAACTGTCACTTTGTATTTAGATGTGGAACTCAGGAGGGACAATCTTCCAGGGACGGAGCAGAAGACCTCACCGGGGTTCATCACAGCCCCCACCAGCTCCTTCGGACACGGGAGAGCCAAGGGGTTCTTAGCCATGGAGATGGGGCCTGTGAACGAGTGGGAGCGGCAGCCTTGAGAGCCCCATCCCAGCAAAAGGGGCCCTTTCCCGCCGGTAACACCCGACACGGAACGAGCTCTTTAAACCCATAAACACTGCATGTCGGGCTACAAGCTGCAGATTTTTTAAAGCCTTGTTCTTCAAGAATAATCGAATCTGAAATTCACAAGTTAACACCTTGGGAAGTTAATTAGTCAAGATCCCAAGCATGGAGGAGTTTCATTCTCTAGCCACCTGTTAAAAATCTGTTTAATTAGAACATTCGTTTTCAAAAAAACTGCCTCGATGCTAAATCAATGGTGATTTTTTTTTCTTGCCCAAGGAACAACCAAAATCACAGGACACACTCAGATCCTTTGCCAAAACCTTCAGCGCAACTGATCGCAGTAAGTTTTTAAATACAAACAAACCTGTTCTGTTATAAATTTACTGGGAAAGGCAGTTTATTTTCTGAGTGTTTTTTTTTTTAATCCATTTTCCCCCAGTTGATCTCAAGCAGTTTAACGTCAAGTAACAGACTGTAGCTACCTTTCATTTAGGCCCACTCCCTTCCCCAAAACAGCCAGACTGGCAATCCTATCAGCATGTAACTTAATTTCACAAGCCACTCACTCACCAAATACAATAATCCAATTTTCCAAATCCCCTTCCCGCTTATCCTGAGTAAACCCACCCTGACAGATCGCCGGCCTGTTTTCAGGGCTGTGTGGTAGGTCGCGCGGCTTCAGAACGTTTTCTGGCAGGCCAGAATTAAGGCTCCTTGCTCTCCGCGGATTTGCAATCGACAATAAAAATCACCTCGGCTCCTTCGACAATTAAAACTGCTGCCACAGAACCAGCCACTCAACTAAGGCACGTGGTGTGGCTTTCCCCCAAATTAAGGCCGCGTTCACTCACTCTGGAAGGCTTCCTCCAACAGAAAAAACACACCCTCGGACTCAAGGAGTAACTTCTCCTTCCTTTGGGTGGGAAAGAAACCCCTTTTCCTCTCCTAAAACCTGCCTTCCCCGAGTTCCTGTTCCGCCCACCACAACGTCCCCAGTAAATCACGGAAAGCTCCCACCTTACCATTAAATTAAAAACTTCACAGCACAGTTACAACCAGTAACCAGGACACAGACCGTGTGCGGCCCTACCTTTGCGAATAACAGTCTGATCATGCAGAAGCATGTGCTGCTCATCCACGATCTGCGGGAGAAACGACAAAGTTTCCTTAAAGTTCCAGACGCCTGGGGAGGGAACTGGGACAGAGTCTACGCGCCAACGGTCCGGGCGGACGGGGGCAAGAGCCTAGCGCCGCTCACCTGCACCTCCTCCATGGGCTGGCCCATGTCATGAAGGCCCAGGTTCTCCGCCAGGCCCGCGGCGTCTAAGGTGTGTGCGTGCGGGAGCAGCAGGTCCGAGCGGCGGTAGCCATCCCTGCGGACGCCCATGGCGCCCCCGTCCAGCCCGGAAATGTGGGGTAGCAGGCCGGCCGGGCGCCCGTGGTGAGAGGGCAAGCCAGCCCCCTCCTGGCTCTGGCGGCTGGGCCAGGCCTGCGGCTGGCTGCCAGTGGGCGCCGGCTGGTGGAGGGGGTTGATGGCAGCGGCATACGCTTCTCCCAGGTGCGAGTAGGGGTCCGCCGACTGCGAGTAAGCCAGCTGCTGGTAGGGAGGTGGGAAGTAGGGCGGAGGCTGGTATTCGGCGACTCCGGTGTGGGAGAGGGGCGGCGCGGGGCTGTAGAGATGCTGCCCGGCGGAAGAGAGGTGGGGGAGACGCGGGTTTCCATTGCTGCTCCCGTCCTGGCGATCCTGGGATAAAGAAAGAGACTCCCGGTTAGTACGAAACCCCGCTACTGCGAACCGGCCGCAGCTACCGCGCGCAGCCGTGCGCCCCCGAGGACCCAACGCACCAGCCCGGATCCAACCCGCGGGGCCCGCCCTGGGGCCGGAGGGCGCCCAGGAGCAATGTGCCCCGGGGATTTCGTTGTGCACCGCGTAGGAAAAGGAGACGAGAAAGACCTGAGTAGGGGCGACCTCGAAGCCCGGGGGCAAAAGTCGGGGCGCTCCGACGCCCGAGGCGCTCGGAGGTACCAAGGGCGAGCTCCAGGCCCGGGAGGAAGTCCGCATGCGGTGCGCTCGGTGCAGCGCGCTCTCGCTCACCAGCCCGCACATGTTCGCGTCGCCCAGCGAAAGAACGTAGGGAGGCGGCGGGCGCGGATAAAGCGCGCAGCGCGGGAAGTGCACATCTCCCCCGCCCCAGGGAATTTCTCCTCCACGCCCTCAGGACAAAGACCTCCCGGCGATTGACACTCCCTAGCAGGGCCTGCCACCCAGCGCCGCCGGGGAACTCGAGAGGGAGCGCTGGAAGGAACGCGCCGCGTCCGGAGCTGCCCTCCCTGGAGCGTATCCCGTGCGCGGAGAGGAAGTGAGACCGCCCTGCCTTGCCACAGTCAGTGCCCCCGCAAGTGGGAACACAAGCAAGACTGAAGGACCCCGAAAATTAGGCAACCTTGCCTGCGCTCGTCCCCTCGCCCCACGGCGGTCCGACTTAATTCCTGAAGGACGTGTCTCCAGTGCTCCGGGGCTCACCGGGTAGTGGGAACCAGGAGAAACAGGGTACTGTCGCCCCCTGGCGGAAGAGCGCGGGGCTGCTAGCAGGGGCACCCCCTCGAGGTACCCAGGGCGCGGTGCGCTCCCGCGGGCCCCCGGCCCGGCTCCCCTCACCCAGCGCCCGGGCTCACGCCTCCCGCCACCTGCGTCTTCTTCCTCTTCCCGCTCGCCACCTCCCTCCCTCCCACTCTCCGAAACTCTAGACCAACCTGTCCGACAGGCTGGAGCACTCCGAGCGCTTACGGCCCCATCTGGCCTCAACACCCCCCCCCACCCCTCCCCAGCCCCCACTTCTCCTGAAAGCCAAACTTATGTTGTTTTCTTCTTTCCCGAGAAGGTAGCGGGGCAGGTTGGCAAGCCCGCCTCCGAGGAGACTCCGCAAAGGTGTCACCGGCAGGTCGCCTCGCCTGACCCCTTTGGACGGAGACTTCGTGCGTAAAAGCCACGTCTAAGGAAGGGTTGTAGGCGCTCTTCCGAGAAAACGGGAAGGAGGGCTGTTTTGCTTCGCGTGAAACCGACCGGTAAGCTTTGTGGGTGGGATTTACCATTCTCTTTCCAGGGCCCGCTCCCGGGGCTAGAGCTTTAGCGAAAGGCCCGATTCAGGAAGGGGGCCCCGGAGAAACGGACTAGGGGGTGTCCGGAAAAGTGGACCCCGTCCCGTCGCGGGGCAGCGGCGGGTGCCTGCTTGCCGCTCCTGCACCCTTGCCCCCGACCTCGGTGCTCGGGCGGGGCCGGGCTGCGCCCCTGTGCCCAGCTCACCTCGCAGTCCTCTTCATACTTGACATTATCAGTTATTTTCCACAACATGGCGTCTTGCGTCCCCCAAAACAGCCGCCAGTTAAATCCAGCTTCCCCCCACCCCCCCAGCGGTAAATCCAAAATGGGTGTCACGGTGACCAGGCGTCTGCCACCGCCCCCGCCGCGCGCGGGTCTCGCTTAACCGGTCACTGGACGCTCATCCGCGGCTCTGCGAGCGTAGATGCAGCTGCCCCGCCGGCGTACAGGCCGCTGGCAGGGACCCGGGAAGCCGCGCCCGCACAGCGTGTCCAGGCGATAGCCGGGGGACCCGGGCGCCTTAATGAGAAGGAAATTATCATAACTCCTCCCCGGGGGCCGGCGCGAAGGCCCGGGCGCCGGGCGGGGCGGCCCCCAGCCAGTCCCAGCCTAGCTCCGCCCCGCACCCCGGGCCGGCGCCACGCGGAGACCTAAGATGCAGGGGGCTAGAGGAGGAGTGGGCGGCACCTCTCCGACAGCCTCGGACCTGCGAAGCCGGGGGCCGCTTTCGCGCCTTCCCTCCCCACAGTGCGTGCACCAGGAACTGACCGCGCTGGGGACCCGAATCCAAATACCCAAGAGCACCGCTCTTTCGCCTACAGCGCTTTCCCCCATCTTCTAAAAGATGTCATGCTGAGTTAGAGACCCCCCGCGTTCGGGGCGTCTCAGCAGCTGGGGTCCCCATATCTCCTAACACGTTTCACCCCACCCGCTCCAGACAAAGTTTAGGCTGGGATCCTGCAGCTGGAACCCCAACCGCTTTGAGATGTTCCCTTCCCGCCTGGCTCCGTCCCATACCTTCGAGGAGATGGGGCAGGTAGGCCTTCAGGGGGGTCTATGTACCCCAAGCGCCTCGGGGCTCCACTCGCACAGAAGCCTAGGACCACAGAGTCGCCGCCTGCTCCCGAAGCTGCATCCCTCGGCTGTCTGTGGCCGGGGAAACCCATGCATCCTTGCCCAGCTCAGCCCGGCCCTGCTCTGCGCTACGCTGCGCTGCGCCAGCTCCGCAGCTGCCTCGGCCGATAGACTCTCAGAAGCCTCAGCACAGCGGAGAAAAGAGGTGCGGAGCCCCAAAAGACCCGAGAACCACAGGCAGGGGGCGGGGGGAGAGGGAGGGGCTGCAGAGCAGCCCGCGCTGGGGAGGTGAGCACCCCAGCTCTGCAGATTTGGGCAGAAAACAAAACTTCCTTCCACATGAACGCGGCCTCGCCTCCCGATCTGTATTTGCGACCGAAACTGGAAAGCAAAGGGCACTATTTTCTAAAATTTAAATAAACGAAATCCATTAGCCCGATGATTGCAACTGACCCTTTTCACTTCCAGGTGAAAGTCGGTAATTCTGAAGGGCGAATTTTGTTGGGATGCCCTATCTGGGTCTGGGAGCTAAACATTCGGAGGGAGTAGGAGAAGGGGACGGTGAAGATTGGATTCCAAGTACAGTAATCAATACCTTCCAGCCCAGCGTCCGGGCCGGAGTGGATGCTGCTCCCTCTCCACAGAGGATTGCACCCGCTGCCTTCCCCCTGCCTCTCGGGTGTGTTTAAACTTGAGCATTTCTAAAACCCAGATGGGCCTAAAAAAAGAAATAAAAGCTAGGCAACCTCCAAGCAAAGTGTCCCCCTCGCCTTAAGAGTGGGCAGATCCGAGGTGATCGTTCGGACCAGATGTGACAACCAACCTGGAAGTGAGACCCCTGGGGGCTTTGAGGCATATTTTCGGCGTTTTGTACAAAGAAGTACAAAAGACAGTGCACAGACGACCCCTGACACCTTGCTTCTAAAACACCAGGACCTGGGGGTAAAAGAAAAAACCGCAGAAGCAGCGCTCCGGGTGGGTGTTCGGGGTGGGGGCAGGGGGTAACACCCGCCCTGCGGGTCTCACACCCGGGGGCAGCAGGTGCGCTGGCACCCATAGCGTGGAAGGTTGGGGTCCTGGGCACTCCCCGCAGGGAGGTTGCGGCGCCTCCTTCGGGAGCCTCAGACTTGCAGGTCAGTGTCTCTGCGCTTCTCCTCCACACTGGGCCTTCTACCCACCCACCCCGCCACCCCGCTAAACCCGAAGACCCGGCCAGGAGTGCAGCTTGAACAAGTTGTCTAGTCTGTGCTGGCAGCTACCGCCAGGCAGGTTGGGGCCAGGGCTGAGTAGCAAAGTGTCATCCATCCCCCGACCCCAGACCCTTCCTGTCTTTCTTTCCCTCTCGCCGAAGCGCTCGCCGAAGCCACCCGGATGGAAGGAGATTCCTCCCAGCCCGGGGTGTCTATGGCAGAGGCAAAGGGAGGCCATAAGGATCTGAGGACCTCCGCTCAGGGACCCCTAGAGAGCCCGGGTTTCGGAACAGTTTGGCAAAAGCCATTCATTCCCAAGGAAGCTCCCTGGACCGCGGTGATGCCGCGTTTCCAAGGGACAGGCGCTCCAACTAGATCGCTACTTTCGCGCCCTGGGTATAGAAGGCGGCTCAGACAAACCCTCAACCTTCCCTGCCAGGGAGACTCTGCCCAAACGCGCATACCCTCGGCTTCGGGGCCGGAGCCCGAGCCCAAGCACGCACGCCTTGGTAAAGGTGGCAGAAGCCTCAGCCCTTCTTAAAGCTTAAGTATTCTCTGAGCGGCAAGCGAGGAGCTGGGTTGGGGGAGGGCTCCCGCACGCGAGACAGACCCACCTCCAGAGCCCACCCCCTTGCCTGCCGCATAAGACGCGGTAGTGCGTAGCTGCGCCCTTGGGCAGTCACCGACCGGGATGGGCACCTCCTCCGGACCCTCCGGGGCTTTGTGCCGCCAAACTGTAAACAGAATGTTGGGATCCCGGGGGCAGACCAAGCAGGCCGCCTCGCCGAATCCAGATCTCGGTTGGGTTGTCAGCGGCTCCCCTCTGTCGCCCCCTAGGGAGCCAGCGCTCACACGCGTGAGCCCTGGAACAAGGTCCCCAGCGGCTCCGGCAGCCCAAGAACCCCGAGACACAAGGCGACGGGGCGTCTGCAAGGACAACAGCGCCCCAGCTGTGCAACCGCCTCCTGCGAGGCGTGGGCGGGCGCCTCTGAATAGAGCGCTCCGGACGCTGGGTGGGAGTCCCCTCCGCCCCCCGCCCGCCACCCCCATCACAAACCGAGACAGGAGGCGGGGCAGGCAGAGCGGGATTAGGGCTGGCCCGCGACTCCTCTTCCCTCCCCAGGGAGGGGGAGCCCGAGCGCCAGGGGTGGCCTCCAAGCGTGTCCCGCCCCTCGGAACAGCGTGACCTCCCGCCCCTCGAGACGGCGTGACCTCCCGCCCCTCGAGACGGCGTGACCTCCGCCCCTCGAGAGAGACAGCGTGACCTCCGGCTGGGACGACAGTAAGTGGCGGACGCGGTGAGGCACAGCGGAGAAGCCAGAGCCGCCAGCAGTCCGGGAAGAGGGCGCCCATTCTCGTGCCCTGCCCTCTAAGGCACCCACTGGGCAGACAACTGTCAAAGAGCACCCGCCGAGCTGTCTAAACCCACTGAGGCGCACACCCTGCGGCGCGATTTGCATCAGTTCGCGGCCACTTCGAAATAACAGAGCGCTGGCAGAGTGGTCTAATCGTGTGCAAAGCGCGGCCGCACACCTCTAGGTGCTTCTCGTCTTAGCCCGAGTCCAGCCCCACTACTCCCTTTTCTGCTCCCTTCTCATCGCGCCGCGCCGCGCCGCGCGCTGGAAGGGGCTTCGCAGCCTTTAGCTCTTCCGCGCACACCTCGGCTTTCCCCAAATGACCAAAGCCGGATGCGGAGCCCGGGGGCTGTAGAACCCCGCTTCCGGGGAGGTCCCTGGTCCATCT